ATGCCCATTTTCTCCTGGTCTCTGTGGTCATTGTGGTTTCTCTGGTCCGTGCCCATCTCGAAGCAGTGGATGCAGTTCTCCTGGTCTCTGTGGTCATTGTGGTTTCTCTGGTCCGTGCCCATCTCGAAGCAGTGGATGCAGTGTGGCGTGGATACGGGGACGCTTCTGGAGAAATTGGCGAAATCCACATGATACTTCCCTATCTTTGTGCGGGAAACGATGGGCAGGAAACTGTAACCCCACTGAATCTCCTGCGGGATGTAGGAGGTTCTTACCTGACAGGAGGAGCTAGTGGACTCAGCTGTCCCGTCTAAAAAGACCACCARTTCAAAGTCCTGTTGGGAGAGCGTATCAGCCGTCAGCTCGTAGAACGGACTGCCTCTGTCGATGACGTGGTAGAGCGTCAGAGGGCAAATAAAGAACAGGTTGTCCTTGCCAGCATCAACCATGAAGTCAACGTCCACCTGATCCAGAATGATGGTGTCTCCATCAGGGGTGGTGGTCATCCTCAGCAGCTTACCGTAGATCTGGCTTCCAATTAATAACGTTTTTCTAAGGTTAGCCACTTGGATCAGGAGACACAGGCTTTCTTTCTTCAAGCAGATCACAGCGGTGTGGCTGAAGGTCACAGTCTTTGCCCTTTTCTTGGGCAAGGAGATCTTGGCTAGGATGACGCCACATATAAAACAGTTGATGATGATGCCAACGAGGCACTGGAAGACCAGCAGAATCACCGCCACGGCACATTGCTCAGTCAGCACCCGTCCACCGTACCCAATGGTTGTTTGGGTCTCCAAAGAGTACAGGAACGCTGTTGTGAGGCCGGTGACGTTCTCGATGCATCGAACGTGTCCAACTGTGTGGTTCTGCCCTCTCAGGTCCCCGTTGCTCTTTGCAATCCAGTACCACAGCAGACTGAAGATGAACCAGCTGCCGATGAACATAACTACAAACCAGAGGAGAACAAAGCGCCAGCGGATCTCTATGAAGGTAGTCCAGAAGTCCACCAGGTACGCAAAGTGKTTGGTGTACTCAATGTTGCCAAATTCGATGTTGCAGTGCCCATCTTTGGTGACCAGACGGGTTTTTTGACTTTGTTTTCCKGTTGGATGCATCCGACCCGGGAGCAGCTGAAACATCCTGGAGCTGCAGAAGCAAACAGAGCATTAAAGACATTAAACAACTACAACATACACGTATGTCTAGTCCAAAGGCTGGGACGATGTGTAGATGGACATAAAAATTGAAGATTGGCAARTCTCATAAATTCATATTTTATTCATGTTAGAGGACTAGGTATAAAAAGAAAATTTTAGAGAGGTTGAATCTCTCAAAATTGAAGATGGGTAGGGGTTCAGCAGTCTGTGAAAAACTGTCTGATTATCCCATCTATAAATCATATTATCTTCAATAGATTTAAATAAATAAGAAATCTCTGAGCTCCAAGGTTGTAAGTCAGGATTAGATGGTCGTGATCTTCGGATTAAAAACCAGTCTGGTTCTGTTCTGGACTTCATGGGCTCAGTAACACTTCCAACAAATCATTATCTGTAAACTCAACTCATCGTGCCATCCACTAGAGCTGGTTAAAGCTCTATCAGACAAACGAGAAGCTATATGTGAACACAATCTCTGAACCAAAGTTGAGTCTGAGTGAAAAACAAATCTGAAATAATTATAAATATTTTTTAAACCTTACCTCTTCTGTATGAATCTACTATTCAGTCTGTCATCGGCCCACAGTTCAAAAACCTGCCTCTCTGATGATATGGGGGTGCATTAGTGAGCAGCTTACACATCTGAAAAGGATACATCAATGCAGAAACATTCAGATTTGAGAACATCTACACTCATCTAAAGACCTAAGAGTAGGGGTGTCCCGATATCAGTTTCTCTCAAACTGAGTAMGAGAACTTCAGTTTGGGTACACGGCATGTCGATACTGGGTTAAAACTTACATTATATATGACTGTCAAAACTTTTTTTAAATTTAGAATAAAGTGACTACACTTCCTTGTCAGCCTACAACCCCTATGACTGTATCCAATTGCATTTACGCCATGATATATACTGTTGAGACATTTTAAAATGAATAAAAATAACAAATTATACCTTTTCTTGCAACTTGGATACATTTCTTAAACATACCAGAAGAGGGGATGATTCACAATGAGGAAAMATGAGCCTGGAACAACTTTAAACGGACATGCTACTGCTAAAAAAATGTTAAAATACCTTACCCCCCCCCCACCCAAAAAAATGTAATTTCCTATTTTAACCATTTAATATGTTCACTATGTTCCATTGTGCACTAAAATAGTTTTATATGATTTGCAAATCATAGCTAAGAATAATAAAAATCTGTTTTGTTTACATTTTACACAACAGCTCAACTTTTTCAGAATTGGGGTTGTAARTGGGAAAATGTTAAGTGGGAAATTTCTTTTGATCAGACATCAAAAAGAAAGATTTCACACCATCTACAAAAGGTATTTTATGACATAACACACTTAATGACAGAGAGCTGCAACAACAAGAAGCAAAACTGTTTTATTTAAAAAATGGCCAGTTTATTTAAAAATATATATAAATAGATTTAATGCTTTTATTTTCAACTAAGCCGTCTAAATATTAGGAAAGCACAGTTGAAAAAMATCACATTGATTTTTAATCAGTTATAAAGCAGAACAGTAACTATTTATGTTATGTTGCGGGTCAAATTGACCAGTTTCAAAGTTTAAAATTATTTTTTAAACACTTGAAAGTATTTTTCTATATGAAACTTTTTGTGTTTGTCTTAAGTATAAAATCAACATATAAAATGAAAATGGTTAATTTTTCATATTTGCATCTCCCCCATTACACAGATCAAAATGTAAAAATAAATAAATAATTTCACATTTAATCATTGTTTTTGTGTGTGTAGGTTATTTCAGTGGATGTTAACAAAGGTAAAATGCTTTTTTGTTTATGAAAAATTTGTGAATTGTCCTCATTGATCCCTTATCTGTGAGACATAATAAACATCAACAYACAAATATTGATTGAAATAGTCAGCAATGGAGTCGATAATCAGATACAAAAAATGTTTTGGGGGATCTTTTTTGGTTTCTGATATTTTTGCATGATTAAATATTCTCCGGGTCAAACTGACCCCTTATTGCTGTTCCTCAGAAACGAACAGGAGGGTTGATATTTCTTGACATTTCTGAAACTAATTATTGTCAAATCTAGTGTTTTAGACATCTCACATTWTTACACTGTTTTCAAACTGCATTTAAAGTCAAAGAGCAAATAAATTGATTTGGACTTACCTGCTCAGCAAGATCATGGACCTTCAGTTCTCACTGGATCTGGGCTGGACCTTCAGACCCATTCTCTTTTAGCTGGTGGCCATGGAGGCGTTGCAAAGATTTTAATCCACAGTGAAATTTCCTAATCCCAGCCACATGCCACTGTGTACACTGGCTTCATGCAGCTGCAGAGCTCCTGGTGGGCGTCAGTCCTCTCAATAAACACAACCAGTTCTGCAAGTCCGGATCCTGTAAAGGTCTGAGGACTGAAGGAGGTCTGAATGCCTTCAGTGGTTTTGTTGTGGCAGTGGGTGCGTCRGTTAAAGCTGTTTTTGTGAACATTTAGGATTTACAGGAGGCCACACAAWGGATCCCCCACCTCCCCCAGCGTGAACCTGCAAGGTTGCCTCCCATTTATATGAAAATGAGGGGCTGGGGGCCCTTCAGTGTCCTGGTCCTGCTCTGTTGSCTGCATCAGGACTGGTTTCATATCTTTGGAGGACATTTCCATTTGGTGTTCTTCACTTGCTGTTGGAGGGTCCAGAGCCCACCAACGAGAATCTTTAGAAGCTTTACGAGTACTTCAAATGTKCTGATTTTAAAATTACCTCTGAGTTCAGAACTCTGACCCTTCCTGCTCTCATCAGAGGAAACGACGAGCGTTCTGAGAACTCATTTGTTTTCTGACAAAAAGGTAAAAGTTCCTGCTTAAATCTGTAGAATTCACTTATCCAGAGTCGGGTCCAGGAGAGAAATCCAGACATCCTGTTCTTCAGCTTGTTCTGTATCCAGACCAGAGAGGATACATAATCYCTCTAGTGAGTCCTAGGTCTACCCTGGGACCTCCTACCAGTGGGAACACCTCTAAAGAAAGGCATCTTAGATGAACCACCTTAACTGACTCCTTTCGATGCAGAGGAGCAGCAGCTCTACTCCAAGCTCCTCCCCCTGTCTCTAAGGCTGAGCCCAGCTGCCCTACGAAGGAAGCTCATTTCGGCCACTTTTAGCCAGGATCAAATCTACAATAAAATCAAGAAAATGTTTACAAGAAATAAAATCTGGTAAAAATGGTCGAGTTTTAAAGATAGCCAGTGAAGAGGCCTGTCTGAGATGGAGGGGTAGCTCGTTCCAAAGTCTAGGAGCTGCTGAGTTTCATTCTGGTTTTAGGGACCCTCAGGATGTACCACACCAAAATTTAGTTCAGTTTCTGAAAAACTGGTCGAGTTTCAGCCACTTTTGTGTTGGCTGAGCTGAAGGTGTGGCGGCCCATTAGGAAATAAAACAATCGAACCGATCAGGTTACGTTTCCTCTGACATTTTCAGCTCAACGCCGTAGGAGATGATTTCATGTTTTGTGGGCATTTTAGTTTCCTTCTGATGTAGGTGGTTAGAGCTGAACACCAACCACACGCACGCACGCACACATACACACACACACACACACGCATACACACACACACAGGTTTGCATTTCTATCCTTATTAGGACCGTTCATTGACTTCCATTCATTTTCAGTAATTTCTACAGCYTAACCCTGACCACAAACCCTAAAGCTAACCTCACAGGTACTACCTGAACCTAAAACTAACCTAAACTCAATTCACACCTTGGTCCTAAACTCAAACCCCAACACAAAAATGGAGTTCCACCATATCAGGACCGGTCTTTGGTCCCCATTAAGACTAATGGTCTTGACAAGGTAGGTGTGTATACCAGAAATGGTCCTAAATAGGTAACAAAAACAAGTACACACACACATTTGCCCAGCTATAGATTTGGGGACATTTCATTGACTTCCATTACATTTCTACAGCCTAACCCTGACCACAAACCCTAAGGCTAACCTCACAAGTACCTCCTGACCCTAAAACGAACCTAAACTCAGTTCACACCTTGGTCCTAAACCCAACCCACCAATGGCATTTAAACCAAATGGGGACTCCACTTAGGTCCTCAAATGCACCAGTTGTCCCCAAAGGGCGTTTTGTCTTAAAATTGCCCCCAAATGCCCCACACACACACACACACACACAACATGTCATCATTTGGCTCTGAAAACTGACTCACCTGGTAAATTATGCCTCATGTCTGGTGGGACAGAGAGGGGCTTTTTGTTGACACCTCAGAGGCAGAGAGAGGAACATAGTGTGATGAGACAGGAAGTCAGAACTCTGTGGTGGCACATTTCCACAACAAAAAAGAAAAAGAAAAGAAAAAAACAACCTTCAGATTTTGTCCAAACCGATTTTCTTCTGTTTTTTAACGCATCTACAAATCAGCCATTTCTTTTTATCCAGGGTTACATTATCATTCTGTAACCCAGAAGTTTCAAATATTTTGAATTTACAAATCTTGTCTAGTTTGCAAAATGCAGATTAAAAGCTTCAGGCTGAGCTGGCATTTCAAAACAAAGTTCATGATAATACAGATTCTGTACTGCTGCTTAAAAACATTCATGACTTCTGATGGATTTAAATATATAAATAAATCTTAATAGGATGAATAAATATTATAGGATGACTCCCATCCACTTTATCAGGTTTACTGACACTACGGTGGTAAACCTGATCCTCTTTTTAGAATTTATAGAGCCTTATGAACATAAAAACAGTTTAAGAAATACAGCGGGTAAAATAAGTATTGAACACGTCACCATTTTTCTCAGTAAATATATTACTAGAGGTGCTAATGACATGAAATT